TCTCTCTCTCTCTCTCTCTCTCTCTCTCTCTCTCTCTCTCTCTCTCTGTGTGTGTGTGTGTGTGAAAGAGAGAGAGAGACTATTCAAAACTATATGTTTTTCTTTCACTTATTTTTATCTATTTTGTAAAGGGATTTTTTTTAACCACCAGTCATTTGAAGTACATTATGTATTTAATATGTTTGTAATTGATAACAGTAACTTTTTATATTTAAATGATTTCATATACGAACAAATAGGTATTATTATGACATCTTCTTCATACCTATGTGTTATGAGAATGACAGTTTTTAAAGAAAAAAGGTTTGACTTGTTCTTTTGAGTATTTATTTTTCTCTTAATGAAATAGACCCAAGAATAAATTCTAGTTCCCAATTCATATATCACCAAAGGTTGTACAGGGCAATAAAATATAGAACCGGGAGACAGGCATAAAGTAACATGGACATCTGCCCCTTCTGTTTAGCCAAGTTTTCTTTGGACTGCCAGCTCCCGAGTAATAACAGAGACTTTTTATAAAGTATGAAAGCTGGGCCTTAGCTTAGGTTTATTTCCAACTAGCTCTCTAGCTTTTATAACTTAAATTAACCCATTTATATTAATTTATTTTCTGCCACATTGTCATTACCTTTCCTCCATACTATATATCCAACTTCCTCCAGGTCTTGTTGGCAAATCTCCTGCTTCAGATTCTTCCCAGAGTTCCTTTTTCTACCTGGAAGTCCCGCCTATCCTCTCCTGTCTAGCTATTTGCCATTATGTTCTTAAACCAAACAGAAGGTGCCTTAGGTGGATGAGGAGGACAGAGACATCTTTACACACTGTGATCAAATATCCTGCAACACTTCTGTCGTAGTCAAACTATCTACAGGACTAAATCAACATTAAGATATTTTGGTTCTCATCACCTCTTTAAATTCAATGCGGAACTGTGGTAGGTGTGCAGTTATTTCTGAAGGTCTGGAGTTTGATTTGAGAAAGCCCTATATATTGTTAATCAGCGACCAGGCACTGCTGCCAGAACTTGGGAGAAGTAACTACGGGATGTCTTTATTTTTCTCTGCAGTTCAGAGAGTGGCAGTCCGGGAGAAAGTGCTGGGAACCACCAAGGTTGAGGTTTTGCTATATTTATTAGGCAGAAATGACTTGAATTTTCAGAGTCTCTTATGCAATTTAGGCCTAGTTTCCAGTTTTGTGCTTTCAAGGTTAGAAAATTGTGTGGCATCTTTTGTGGGGCGAGAAACAGACACTGTGCTTTTAGCCAAAAGGCAGTTCTAGGACGTGTTAGCTTGGCTTTACACCTCTTAGTACTATAACTTATATAATTCCAAAAGGTTTTATTTTACGTGTGTGTGTGTGTGTGTGTGTGTGTGTGTGTGTGTTTGTGTGCGCGTGTGCATATGTCTGTTGTTCTTTCATGCCATTAAAGGTCAGAGGACAACTCTTGGAAGGAGAGAATGCATGCACTAGTAAACCAAACTGTCACCCTCATCTTCAATAAAGTTGGAGTTAAGTCAGTGGGATGGTTCAGATAGAGGTGCCACCAACAAGATGGACAAACTGATCTAAGCCGAGCCTGGAGGATGTAACTTAGTATGGCTGTCAAGAGAGGGTCACTAACGCTTTCCTTACCAGGCTAAAGTTAGCATACATGGGTTGAGTAACCTTTGTTGGTTCAAACTGAAAGAAAAGGACTGAGACCACATGTCTTTCATGGAAGATCTTGCTAAAAGAGGACTGCTCTGTGGAGAAATTCGGGTGGGTAGCTACTTCCTGTGTAGTAGGCAACTCACTTCACCCCGAATAAGTGGTTTGAAAGTAGGGAAAGAGGCCAGCAGTGTCAACAAAAAAATCTTTTCTGGGGGAAGCTGGACAAGTAAGACAATGGCATTCTTCTCTCTAAGTACACTTCCTGTGGCTTTTGAGGCAGGGACAGGCAGGCATAGGACACAGTCACTGTGAGGAGCCCTGGCACTATGTATCCAGATATACGTCCAGATATACCAGGCAGAGGAAGTGCCTTCCATTTTCTGACCCGTGACGCTAAGTGT